AGTCCAACATCTTTAATAAAAACACTAAACAGTAGGTCTAGAAGGACCTTATTTCAATCTGATAATAGCCATTTTGACAGACCTGCTGCCAACATTATATTAAATGGGAAAAAACCAACTGAGCACGTGGTGCATTCCTGTATCCCAGCATTTGGAAACCTGAAGCAAGATCATTGCTGTGAATTCAATGGTAGTCTTGAGTTACATGGTGAATTTTGGGCCAGCTTGAACTACACAGTGAGACCTTGTCCCAGAAAAACAAAATAATTGGGAAAAACCCAAAAGCTTTCTTTTCTAAAAACAAGAACAAGATAAAGATGTCTTCTGTTCAACAGTAGTACTTGAAACATTACCAAGAGCAATTAGGCAAGAAAAGAGGGGAAAAATGGATATGTGCAGGAAAGAAAGAAGTCAAATTATCACTATTTACTGATGGCATGATTGTCTGCATAGAAGATCCAAAAAAAAAAAAAAAAAGTCCCCCCAAAGACTCTTGAAATAAATAACAAAATTAAGTAATGTAACAGAATACAAAATCAATAGACAAAAATCTGTGGCATTACTGTGCACTAATAACCCATTAAGACAGAACTTAGGGAAAAATACTATTTACAGTAGCACTAAGGAAAAATAAATTAGGAATTATCTTTAGGAAGCAAAGGACTTCTACAATGAAAACTATAGTACTCTAAAAAGAAAAATGAAGAGGGTATTAGAAAATGGAAAGGTACTCCAGTGCTAGGTATCCGGAACCAATATAGTCATAATATCCTTAATTCCAAAATTAACACAAGGATTTATTGTAATCTAAATGCAACTTCCAGTAACTTTCTTTACAGAACTGGAGAAAACAGTTCTGAAATTCTTACGAAACCAGAAGAGACCCAGAGAAGCAAAAACAATTCTGGATAAAGGAACAAAGCAGGAGGCCCCACAATCCTAGTCTTGAAGATGTATTATAAAACTACTCTGTAAACTGGGGATGGTGGCACACTACTATAATCCCAGCACTCGGGAGGCTGAGATAGGCAGATCATTGCAAGTTCGAGGCCAGCCTGGGCTATGATATGAGCCCAAGGCTAGCCAGAACTGTATAATGAGACCCTGTCTCAAAAAAACAAAACAAAACTACTGTGTGAAAAACAGCATGGTATGAGCATAAAATCAGAGATAAAATCAATAGTACAGAATAGAGGATACAAAAGTAACCCTAGGCACATTCAGCTATTTTATCTTTGACAGAGTCCCAAAAACATGCTGGAAGAAAGATAGCCTCTTTAATAAATTATGTCAAGAAGACTTTTGCAATTTGCCACATGCAAAAGATTGAGTCTAAAGCCATGTCTGTCATCATATACTAAACTAAAATGAGTTAACTGTTTAACCAAAAATGCTTAACATGATAGAACACAAGATGGGTAAAACTCTTGAAGTCATAGGCATGGGCAAGGACATGAACCCCCGGTGCAGAGGAAATAGTTGTGAAAATCAATGAATGGAATCATGTTAAATTAAGAAACTTCTGCAGAGCAAGTGAAACAACCAACAAAGTAAAAAGACAACCTATAGGATGGGAACAAAGTTTGCCAGCAATTTCTCCAACAGAGGACTAAAATCTAAAATATATAAAGAATTTTTTAAAATTAGACTCCCCTATAAAACTCAATCAAAAAGTAAGTAAAATAATTAGAAACTTCATAGAAATACATGACCAAATGTTTAACATTATTGGCCATTAGAGAAGTGCAGATTAAAACAGCATTGTAATTTCATTTTACTCCAGAAACAATAGCCATCATTAAGAAACCACAAAATAACAAGCCAAATATGGTGGTATAGCTCTATAATCCCAGCACTTCAGAGGATGAGGCAGGATCACCCTGAGTTTGAGGCCAGCCTGAGCTACATAGTGAGTTTGAGGCCACCTGAACTACATAATGAGACTCTGTCTCAAAAATCAAACAAAATCAAGTAATAACACATGGTTGGAGGGACTGTGGGGGAAAAAGGAACCTGTGATAGTTATTCGATCATGTCAAATTGAGTAAAAAATTACCAACTAAATTACCTCAGCGTATTTCTGGACATAGAATACCTATCCATTGGAGGAGTATCACCAGAATGGTATAAAAGAGAAAAGAAAAAAAGGAAGGATTGTTTCTGTTTCTTTGGAGGAATGCCAGTCTAAGCTTCACCTTGGACATCATCTTCTATGTTCCAGCGCAAGACTCTTCAGCCTTCTGATATGGACTCACATAGTACAGTGCTGTGAGCTCCAGGCCTTTGACTAAATCCTTCAGACAGACCTTTTCACTCTTCCACACCTGACTCTGTAGATGGCTTTTGCAAGCCAGTCTTGTAAATTCTTACATATTTGTATATCTTGTATTAAATCTGTTTCTCTAGTAATAAGGAACTGATGACCCTTCTACACTATTGGTGAAAATGTAAACTAATACAACCACCATGGAAATCAGTATGGAGATTCCTCAAAAAAACTATAAATTCCTTGACCTAGCTATTCCTTTCCAGCTATCTTCCTGAAACAGACATCATATTACTGAAATTCCTACATACCCTTGAGGACAGAATTCATAATAGCTAAGTCTTGGAAATAGCTCTTCTTAGTTATTTTTCTTTCATTGCTGAAACAAAATACCCGACATCCAAAATTAAGTAAGGAAAGGTTTATTTAGCTACAGTTTGTGGAGGTTTCAGTCTGTAATCTGCTGGCTTGCAAGGCAGGATGGCAGATGGCGGAGAGCAGCAGTTCTTGTGAGCAGCAGATGCCAAAAGCAACAAGAGTAAAGGAGAAAAAAGCCTCAGTGTGAAGGCTGGAGCCCGTGCCATTGGAAGCCGCGATTGGGGTTTCCCGCTGCGATTTGGGTTTCCCACCGCGCGGCGGATGCCTCTACATCGGCTCGGCAAGGAGAGAGACTCACGGAAGCTCTGAGAACGGGAATCTGCCTCTTTTCCTCCCTTATGTTGTATGTAAGCTACCCACCCCTAGGCAGGTACAGCACTCACTTCACCAATCCCAGCACTGGACAATGAACCAATCACAAACTCTAGATTTAGCTGCCTGCAAAAAAGCCTGTCCCCCCATGACCACGTGAGGCTTTGTAGGAATATGTCCATCAACAAATGAAGGATAAAGAAAATGTAGTATTTATATACGATGTAGTGCTAGTCTGTCATAAAGAAAGATAAATGAGTCATTTGTAGGAAAATGGATGTACCTTGAGACCATCCTTTTAAGTGAAATAAGTCAGATACACAAGCTTAAATATCACGGTTTCTCTTATATGAGAAATCCAGAGGAAAAAAAGGGCAAAAGAAAAGATAGATATGGTAATACAAAACAGGGAGATACAGTGTTCTCAGAGGCTGAAGGAGATCAAGAGATGAAGGGGGATGGTGGGTAGAGAAAGGAGATGAAAAGAAGTAAGGTGAGTTATGTACATGTACCATCTCCACACAACATGTAGCATAAACTAGGATCTTAAAAATTAATGAAACAAGTCACCATATATATGAAAATATTTTTGAAACAATGGAATAGGTAATTTGGACAATTACTTGAACTTCTTACAAATTTTTTAAAGTTAAACATTCACAATATTTTTCAATTGCTCTATGTATATATCTCAAGGATTTTTGGATTGTCTTTGGAATAAGTAATAAGACTACTTCTATAAGCCTCCCATGAAAAATAGATGTATGGTGTTAGTACATTTTAGTTATATAATGTAGTTGAATATTAATAGTTTTTATTTTTACAGTATTCTTTGGGGGGGGTACCAGGAATCGAACTCACAACCTTGCACTTGCTAGGCAGGTGCTTATGCCACTGAGCTAAATCCTGGCCCTGTATAATATTCTATATTTATAAAAATTAAGATTTTAATACCACCTTTGTGTCAGTGCCAAGGTTGTTAGCTAATTGTTTCAATCGTATATCCAAAAAAATTAATACTTGCCAGGTATGGTAGCTTATACCTGAAGTCCCAACACTTGGGACATGAGCAGGAGGATTGCTGCAAGTTCAATGGGCTACAAAGTCAGTTCAGATTATAAGACAGTGAAAGCATCTGGAGCCAGGCATGTTGGCCTGTGATCCCAGGACTCTGGGAAACTGAAGCAGTAGGATTGGATGGCAAGTTCAAGCCACGTCTAGGCAATTTAACAATACCTTGTCTCACAATTAAAAAGGGCTAGTAGTCAGGTGCAGTGGCACATGCCTGTAATCCCAGCGAGGCAGGAGGATCATCATGAGTTCAAGGCCAGCCAGCACTACAAAGCAAGATCCTGTGGGGATGCAGCTCATTTAAGTTACTCTCCAACCTAGAATTTCTGTGTTATCTATTACAGCTCAAAACTTTAAATCCTAGACCAGAAATTATAAGTTTTTAAAATAGTATTTTGGGGCTGGGGATTTAACTCAGCGGTATAAGCGCCTGCCTGGCAAGGTGAAGTGATGAGTTTGATCCCTGGTACCAAAAAAAATAAAAAAAAGAGTTTGTGGTACTAAAAAGTATTTTGAGTTATGTGGTTCTGGCATCAATACCAGAACTAGAAATGAGCTCTGAAGTTATTGACACGTAAGTTGGTAGACAAAAGATCTCTTCAATTCAGTACCCGTTCTAATAATATCTATGAGTATGATTTTCTACTTCTGTAAAGCAGGGAGGTTTATAGAGCCAGGCCGTTTTCGGTACTGTCTCTACAGTTTGGTATGTGCCTACACAATACAAAGTGTGACTTTAAAAGTATTTCAGGTTGATGTGAAACATATTGTTTTTAAAATAAATTCTACTGACTAAGATGTGTTTCAGAAAACAGAAAAATGTGCTATTAATTATATAATTTAACTTCCCAAGACATGAGTAAAGAAATTGAGGATTGTGGTTGGAAAAAAAAAAAAAAAAAAAACCCTATAGCTTTTTAGCAGGAGGCACTGCGACGAAGTAAACTGAATTCCTATTGTTTTGTGTGGCTAGAGCAACTTGCTGAGCTTCGCCAGGAATTTCTTCGACAAGAAGACCAGCTTCAGGACTATAGAAAGAACAACACTTACCTTGTGAAGAGGTTAGAATACGAAAGGTAAGATGTTATGTGCCATAGGTATTCATGATTCTAAAATATTTGTCCTCAACTTCTGGGCTTAATTTATCTCATTTTTCTGGCTTTTTTCATTTTATTTAATATTTTAAATTAGTTTCATTTTGTCTTTCAGTACCTCTTTGAAATCCATGCTCTTATTTTGATCTGTTAAACATATGCAGATATCTCTTAAAAGACATACTATGTTTGTCTATGGTGTAGGGTTCATGGTGAGACAGAAATGTTACAGAGTTTTAGAAAAGTTTAACAAAACTGCAAGAAGGTTCTGTGTTTTTTTCTGAGAGGGATCCAGAAGAAGTCAGCACTGAGGCCTTCCGCAAGAGCTGAGGGACTAAGAATTAGCTACTTTTCCTGCTCTGTGCTTCAATCCCCTTGCTCACACAACTGGTGGTAAAGCTGGGGAAATTCTTAGGGACCTTTCTAACAGTTACTCTTTAGAAACTTTTATTATATCTTTAATCAGTTTTATGGTAAATGGCAATTTTTAGATCTGTACACCAAAAATTAAAAGGGTTCATCATATTTTGAAATAGTTTATCTGTTCCTGACTTGTTACTGCTCTTGCTTATTCGTCTCCTTGTGCATGTATTTTAGCCTAACAGTGTTCAGTACTTTTTCATGTATCAGTAGCAGTGATGGCGAACCTATGGCACATTATTATTATATTTTTCTTTTAAGACAAAAGATGTTTTCTATCTGCTTATAAACTAAATGTTTCTTTTTGCATGAAGAATCTATTTGTATCTTTTGACTTCTTGTACAGGGGAAAGTCAATATCTTCATCTGTTTTGTGTTTTATCCCATTTTCCCTTGTTAGTATATTCTACTTTCTTATTAGTTTCTTCACTTCCCATTATTCTCTGGCCAAGACTTTTATTAGTGTTTAAAATACATGTAACAACTGGGTGTAGTGGCTCACACCTCTAATACCAACATTGTGAGGAAGGAGGGTTAGCCTGGTCTACAGAGTGAGTTCAAGGCCAGCCTGGACTGCATGCGAATTCCTGTCTCAAAAAGATAAAAAAAGAAAAAAAGAGTGATTTAACAAATCAATAACTGCCATTCCTTACCAGTTTTTTTTTTCACCTATTGCTGTAATTTGTCTCATAGTTTTCTATAGCATATTTCTCCTCTGTGATTGAAGTTGGCTTGATGATTATTTTTTATAGATGCAATATATAAAGTAACATAAAACATTGTTTTCATCTTTCTAATTTCTGTTTTCGATTAACTTTATTCGTTAAAATATTTTTAAAATTTAGACTGAATTATTTGTCTTGTCATTTTTATGCCCATTTCCTACCTGAATATTTTATCTAATTGTATCAACTTCTAGACAACTTTCAGTATTCAGCTCAACAGAACACAATCTAAAAGAATGACTTTGTAATTTAGCTTTCAGTGTGGACAGCAGATCAAGGAATTAAGAGCACAACATGAAGAAAATATTAAAAAGTTAGCAGATCAGTTTTTGCAAGAACAAAAGGTAAATTGAAAACTATATACTTAATTTAAATGTTTGTTATAAGTCATATAATTAGAAATTAAAATTATAGTTTTGTCATAAAATGAGTTTTAAGTATTCTAGCCTGTTTAATTCAAAAAATGATTCCCAGTGGCTTTATTGTCAAGTAATCAGACATTTGTAAACAATAAAACCTTAACTTTTTTTTTCCAGTGCTGGATATTGAACCTAGGATCTTGTGTTTTATTTTATTTATTTATTTATTTGGTACCGGAGATTGAACTCATGACTTGGCACTTGCCAGGCAAGCACTTTAAAGGCCTCTTTTGTTTTATACTTCACATCTTTTGGAAATAATCCTATCACCAACTGTGAGCATCTGAAGCTCTTAGGGGATATCAAGATACAAACCATAACAATGGCAATTAGTGACAACAACTTTTATTGGTAATATTCTTCTCAAATTTTAAGGTGGATAACATTTTACTGAAAATCAGTTACTTTCAGTTACTGTATATTTGAGAAAGAAAACAATTGAGAAACTTTCCTTTATTATCAATGTGTTATTCTCATACCCTTTCTTAAAACAGAATCAAAGCACTAAATACTGCAACTAACTTTGATTCTTTTTTCTGGTTTTGTTTTTTCCTGTGCTGGAGTTCACCCAGGGCCTCATGCATACTGCATCATTACCTGTCCCTCATTTGTACTTTTTAAGATGGTAGATTCTTTTGTTAATTTATCAAAATAAATCAATCCTAAATTAATCCTAAAATGCTACATCATCAAAAACAAGTCGCTATTTCACAAAAGGTATTTTAGAAATAGGATTTTCCTGAAGATCACCAGCCATTATGGACATGAATAATTGTTTATGTTCTGTAATCTCATCCTACTAGGCATGGTTTATGTAGTCTTGTGATTTAAAGTGAAGAGAAATTCAATCATGAAAAGTATTTGTTTTGCTCTTTGATAGTATGTTACCTTCAAGTTAAAGACACTGGGAATTTGTTCTTAGCTTTTCCATAGTATTACAGCAGAATATTGAGAGTATCATTTATTTTTCATTTTTTGAGTCCAGAAAATGTAATAGCTGCTACCTATACGTAATCTACTTTGAACACAGATAAGGTTTGGCTGGTGGGAGATTGCAGGCCTGAATAAGTGACTATAGTAGTGACTTTGAGGAAAGCCAGAAGAGAGTACTGAGACTCTGAAAGGTTAGAAGAGGATAGTAGAATACAAAAAGAAAAAGTGGTTTGTTGTGCGGTTGTGTATTCCAAGCCTAGTGTGTAAGCTTTCCTTTTTTTCCAGGCAGGTGTAGGTTTCCTCTTGTGCTTTTCTGGGTTGTGCTATTTTAATATTATTGATCAATGGGTACCTCTTCGGTTCTTTCTTTCCTTTATCCTGCTCTAATTGGAAACCAGTCAGGGCAGGGACAGAGGTTGCTGAAGAATTTCTTTCTCAGGTAGCATACCAGTCTTTACCTTGTTAGACCAGCTGCCTGATTCTATTCCCTGCCCATAATTTCCTGTTCTTCAATTTGTATTTCAAGTTAGTTCTGAGAAAGCAGTTTTTCATAGGGACAAATCCAATGTTAACTATATGAAACAAGCATAAATTGATATTCAGGGATTTATTTGTATGATACATTAATTTACTAAGTAGTTAACAAAGCACTATTTATCTTAGAAATATTTTAGGGAAAGGGTCAGTAAACTATAGATCATAGACCAAATCCAGCATTTTTAAACAGTTAAAAAATTCAAAAAGTATATTTTATGACATGAGAATATTGTAAGATTTATATTTTAGTATCCATAAATAAAATTTACTACTTTTGTGTTACAAAGGCAGAGAGACTGTTGCAGAGCAGAAAAAAAGAAGACTCAAATGTAATACAGTAGCTGGGCGTGATGACACATACCTATAATCTTCTGGAGCAAGAAGAGGGTTACAGGTTTGAACTCAGTCTGGGAAAATTAACAATTTAGCACTCAGGAGGCTGAGGCAGGATGATTACTTCGAGTTTGAGGACAGCCTGGGCTACATAATGAGTTCAAGATCAACCCAAATGACCTAGTGACCCTGTCTCAAAAAAAAAAAATTAAATAAATAGAAAGATGAAGCTGAGCATTGTGGCACACACCTTTATTTCCTAAATTCTGGAGGCTGAGGCAGGAGGGTTGCTGTGCGTTTTCAGCTAGCCTGGGCAACATAACTGAATTCAAGACCAGCCTGAACTACAGAGTAAGACCCTGTCTCAAATAGTAATAATAATAATAACGATGATGATGACGATGATGATGATGAGACTCCTTCACCACACTTGCATTTAGAAAGCCATTTTATTAAGAATATTTTGATGTTTTTCTTTCATATAAAGGCAATGGCATCAATAATTTTTAAAAGGTAGCATATTTTTAAACTGTTTTTAGTGGAAAATATTTTGAACAGTAGTTTTTTTATGTTTTTAACCCCCTTTGGTGAGACAAGGTCTCACTATATAGTTCAGGCTGGCCCTGAACTCAAGGTGATTCCCTCCCTCAGCCTCCTGAGGGCTGGGCTTACAGGCATGTAATGCATCATCATGCCCAGACCATTGATTTTTAATTTTTAATTATTTAATACACATCTACAAAAATAGTGAAGTATTATAGAGTTAGCCTTGGGCTATAGCACAGAGGTGAATGTGTACAGAGAATAGGGCAGCTCCTCAGGTAGTGCCTCCTGGATTTGTCTCACTCTTGATTTTACATTGACAAATTCAGATATTTTAGTTTATCCCTTTACTCACTGTTAGAGTGTTTAAACTCTTAGAATTAGTTAAAGCTTACCAAATTGCCATAAAATGTGGGATTTGGAATCAGAATGTGTGTTTGAGTCCCTTCTACATAATTACCTAGCTTTGAGACCTAGAACAAGCTACCTATTTTTTTAAAGCCTATTTTGTTTTTCCTCATACTATTTATCTTTATTAGAAAATAGTTGTGGGGGCTGGAGATTTAGCTCAGCGGCATAAGCACCTGCCTTGCAAGCAGGCAGTCGTGAGTTCGATCCCCGGTACCGATAGAAATGAAAAAGACAAAAAAAAAAAAAAAGAAAATAGTTGTGAAAGCACTTTGTAAACTGTGAAATAGCATGGTGCAAATGTTTGCTGTTGATTTCATCTGCCTAGATGCTAGAATACCTATACCTGACTGTCAAGAGTACCCTTTCTATCGTTCCCTTTTTCTTTTGTTTTTTAATTTTTTGAGACAAAGTCTCACTATGTAGTCCATACTGGTCTTGAACTCACCGTGTAACTAGGCTGGCCTCAAACTCACAGCAATCCTCCTGCCTCCGCCTCCTGAATGCTGGGATATAACATTCATAACAGTCAGAGCTATGTATGGTGGCTCACACCTGTAATCCCAATATTCTGAGGCTAAGATGAGGGTTATGAGTTTGAGGCCAGCCTGGACTACGTAGTGGGTTTAAAACCAGCCTGAATTACGTAGCAAGATCTTGTCTCAAAAAAACAAAAAAAGATTCAAAAAATAAAAAAGGATTTAGTACTTGTTTGGTACTATTCTTTTTTTTTTTTTTTTGTTTTTTGTTTTTTTCATTTTTATCGGTACCAGGGATTGAACTCACAACCGCCTGCTTGCAAGGCAGGTGCTTATGCCACTGAGCTAAATCCCCAGCCCCTTGTTTGGTACTATTCTAATAGCATTACTAATAATTGTACTGTGTAATCTTCTAGCATTTATAAGCACTTATATATGCATTAAATATTAGACAAACTTACTATATATATTCCTTTACTCCTTACCTTTCTGAATTCACTGAGGCAACTCAAAACTGGCCTGTCAACAGAAATGAATTAGGCTTGCTCATGTACGTGAAGATTTAACCTTCCAAGAAGATGAAACAGGAATAAATTAGGAGGAACACTGATTTATATGTTATCTTAATATTAATTTGCTGTGCTTGGGTGACCAATGCACTGAAGGAGTTGATGGGTTTTCTGTTTTGCAGTTTCTGCTTAGGAAAAGCCTGACAATCTCAGTAGTCATCTCTCACACTTCAAGGGGCATCCATGTGCCAAATTCTTCCTGTTCTGCCGTCTACCTGGTGCAAGCATATCCCAACAGAGAACCCACTCTGCCCCTTGCACCTGGGATACTGCCCAACTGCAGGCTACTGTAACAACTCACACTGCTCCATTATGCTGTCCTATAGAATCCTCCTCCAAAGTAGCCAAAGAGAATTTTCTCTACTTAACTTTTTAGGCCATTTGCTATAACTATAGGCTTTTTTAAAATGTTGATTAAACTTTGATTTCATATCAGCAATAAAACTGAACAGAAATAATAGTTTGTTCCACACCTCTGAATATGAACTCTTGTGTATATTTTAAAAGATGAACTGTTTCAGGACCTTTAATTAATAGTTGTTATCAATGATTTAACACTTTAACTGGAAAATATTTACTATTACAAAATCTTTATCTAACAGCAAGAAGCCCACAAGGTTCAATCAAATGATGGAAACGAATTGGATGTAAATGATCATGTAGTACCTAAAAATATTCCAAAAGTAGATGAGAATACTGCAGATAAGAATGAAGAACCCTCAAACAATCATATTCCACGTGGGAAAGGTACTGTTGTTATTTTGTTTCATGTTAATATGATGTTGACTTTTTCATCCCATTTTGAAGTAAACATTTTCAATCATAAATTGTTTTTCAGTTCAGATGTAGATATGATTAGGTGTCTATATGTTCCAAATTTGGATCTTTTGATAGAAAAGAAGAAAGTAAAGATATTTGGTCAGTATCGGCTATTAGTTTAAAAACTAGTTGTTACTTCAGAACATTTTCATTTAAGCCAGGTGCAATGGCACATGCCTGTAATTCCAGCACTCGGCAGACTGAGGCAGGAGAATTGTTGTGTGTTCGAGACCAGCCTGGGCTACAAAGTGAGTTCAAGGCCAACCCGAACTGCATAGTGAGACCCTGTCTCAAAAAAGACCAAAAAACCCAAAATGAAACAAAAAAAAATTTTTCCCTTTATATAAGAAAAAAATATAGAAGTTATATCTTTTTGTTACTTGGGCAGAGCAAATCAAACGAGATGGTGATGCAGGGATGCCTGGAGTAGAAGAAAATGACCTAGCTAAAGTTGATGATCTTCCTACCTGTAAGTAAGAGTCATTAGAGAATTCAGCTAAAGCAATTATATTATTTTTCTTTTCATGTGGCCCCATTATCTTTTGGGCTGAAACTTGGAAAGGTCATAGATGTCTGATTAATTATTGATATTTCAACTTAACTCCCCATTAATTACCAGGATTTTTTTGTATATAATTCTTAGGAGATTTGTTGCTAAATATATAAAGTGCTTGTTTTTGCCTTGATAAAAGCCATTTTTTAACCTTTTCTTAATGACTCAGTTATTGCTCATGACAGCAATGCCATGTTAGTCATTTATGTTTACCAAGAAAATATATTGGGCTCTCGTACTTCCTACTCAGTGTCCACAGATTGCTGTGCTGTTGACCTGCTACCTTTTGAAGAGTGAACCCATGGCCCATACTTGCTGAACAATCACTATAGCACGGAGCTATTTCTCTAGCATTGGTGTATGCTTTACAATGGCAGAGTGATACCTTACAGGAGTTACTAAGGCTTTAGAACTCGGTTTATCCTTTCAATGAATTACTATCCAGTTTCAGGTAGTTTATTTACTATTGTTTTCTTTTCCTTCTTTTATGATCACATCAGCATATATCTTTTTCTTCATTAATATGTATATGCTTGTTACCTGTTTTCTCTTGAAGTCCTAATTCCACTTGCTGTTAATATTCTACATAATTCTCCATGTCAACTTCAATGTATTATGCTGGAAAAAATCCAAGTGACAGTATTTATTTTTAACCTCTTTGTCATTGTTCTTATTCCTTCTCTTTTTTTTTCATCGGTACCAAGGATCAAACTCACAACTGCGCACTTGCAAGGCAGGCACTTATGCCGCTGAGCTAAATTCCAAGCCCTATTCTTATTTCTTCTCAATTTCAGTGATCACCTTTATAGTTATATCCAGTTGTAAATGTCTGAAATTGCCACGTCTCAGGTATAAATTAGTCCTTTTATTTGTGTAATTGCTATCTTCTCAAATTCTTTTATGTCTGCATTCCTGTAGGTTTCCAGTTCATACTATATGTTCCTAAAATAAACAGTGACATGAATTTGAAGATGTAGAATTAGAATGAGCACCATTTTATTGTAAGATAATGAAGTAATCCATTGATTGTGAAAGTGTACTCTCTGTACCAATAGTTTACAGATTACCTAGGAATTTGTTAAAAATTGTATACAGATACTTAAATTTCATTCCATACTTACTGAATTAGACATTTCAGAGATGGAGCCCAGTAATCTAAGTTTTAATAAACTCTCTTGAGTGATTCTGATCTAAAGTTTGAGAACCACTGATACAGAAATGAATTGAAAGCAATATTGAAAGAAAGCTCTTGTATTCTTTTGAATTTTTGCAACACATATTATATTCCTAGACTTTATGAATTTTAGGTTGCTTGAACTGTTTTTCATTGCCCTTACTTACTTCTTAAGCAATGCGCAGTTTCATCAAAAGTGAACTACAGCTTTATGATATTTAGAAACATTCTATTCAGATATCCGAGCAAGGACTGGTTACCTGGCTGTGTGCATTTATTTTTCATGTCATCTCTGTATAAAAGTATATTGTTTACATTTAACTATATGAATCTTTTTTTTTTTTTTTTTTTTTTTTGAGATGGGGTCTTGCTATGTAGTGCCGGCTGGCCTTTACCTTAATTATATAGCACAGGCTAGCCTTGAACTGACAGCAATTCTCCTGCCTCAGCCTCCCAAGTGATAGGATTACAGGCTTGTGCCACCATGCCCAGTTTAAATATATAATTCTTAACCCGTTGTCTATTTCCACATACTAAGATAAATTTTATCTTTACTATTTTGAATGTGTAATGTTTCAGTTTATGTTCTCATTGAACATAATTTATTACCTGGCCACCAAGAAATTTCAAAGTTATGCTACAAAATGAAATGAGAATATAGAAATGTTTAGAAATTTCTTAACCATTTTTGGGTATATTGTCGTAATTGGACCATGGTTTTGAAATGTTTTTCATACATGAATGACTTGAATGTGACAAAAATTTTGCCTCTTCTGCTTCCTTAATTTTAAAAATGTATAGAAACATATTATTAGAATAAAAATGAATATTTCTGATGAGATATCAAAAATTTATATATGAATTTTATCCTATGAATTTATCATATATTAACTCATACAGTGGTTATAGCACAATAGTTTGGAACTGGGAAAAACTCCAAAACTGTATATACATTTTGTACATATTTGACATTAATGCCAAAATACCACTGTACACAGACACTGTCTCCATTGTCATGGCATATTAGAGGATTTCCTACATTTTTTTATGTGTATGTCTTTTTTTTGCATTAGCATTTTCTAGATGTTTCCAATATTTGATTCATACATTGAGATTTTTTAAAAATAGGACTGCCATTGGCTAGGGGACAGACCTAAGGATCTAACGGACTTTACCCTACTCAGTCACTGAGAATTGAAGAAAAAAACAGTTTAGCACACTGGTAACCTATAAACCATCCACAGTACCATGTTTATGAAACTGTATACAAAGATATGAACTGAAAAATAGAGTTCTTACATTATTCTATCTTTAGCTTTATTTTATTTATATTAGTTTATATTTCTGCTAGTAATATATGACAGTTTCTATTTATCTGTCCACATCATAGCCAACATCATGGCTTAATGTTTATCAATCTGATGATTATGAACTGCAATCTGTTGTTTTTGGTGGTTTGTTTTTGTTTTTGTTTTTGTTTTTGTTTTGGCACTGGGCAAAGTGCACTAAGCAAGTGCTTAAGCCACTGAGTTGAATCTCCAGCCCTGCAATCTCATTTTGAAATAAAATTTTCTTCAGTACTGGACATCAACCATCTCTTTACATTTTTACTGCCATTTAGATTGCCTCCTGTGAATTATCTGGTAGTCATTTTTGCCCATTTTTCTGTTGGATTTTTTTCTAGTTTTAAGATCTAGTCTGTCTCACATTAAAAGTTGCATATAAGCCAGTCACAGTGGCACATACCTATAATCCCATCTACCCAGGAGACAGATGCAGGCTCATGAGTAGAGCCAAATTAGAAGCTCACCTAGACAATTTAACAAGACACTGCCTTATAAAAAATAAAAGGTCTGGGGCTGGGGATTTAGCTCAGTGGCATAAGCGCCTGCCTGGCAAGTGCATGGTCATGAATTTGATCCGTGGTACCAAAAAGATAAAATAAAATAAAATGTCTGGGGATGCAGCTTAGTGCTAGGCTGCCTCTCGGAGTTTAGTTCCTGGTACCACCATCAAAAATAAAAACTAAAATTGCCTCTAATGATTTATTTTAGGGAATACTCTGTAAGACTATGTCAGTTAACTTTCTGTCACAAAATACTTAAGATAATTAACTTATAAAGAGAAATGCAAAGCTCATTTTGGCTGAGAGATTTTTAGGATTCCAGTTCATGATCAGGAAAACCCATTGCTTTCAAGCCTCTGATGGGCTCTGTTGGAAGTGAAGATGGGAGTGTGTAGTGAGACAAACTGCTCATCTCACTGCCCACAAGCAAAAGAGAAAGGCACTGGGATCCCACAGTCCTCTTTAAGAGCATCTCCTAGAGACCTGCGAGTGGCCACGCAGGTGGAGGTGTGGCCTCCTCCAAAGTCGATGGCACCTTCTGGTAGTTCCACTTGAGAACACCACCTTTAACACATGTGCCATGGGGGACATTTGACATCCAAACTATAGCAAACGGTGTACATAAGCAAGTGAGAGTTATTTTTTTAATTAGTAACAGAAAAAATTAGTGCTTTTGTTTTTTAATACTAGATAGGTTTACTCTATAAGATAATGAATTTTCTAGAACAGAGGCTTTCACTTTTGATTGCACATTGGAATTAGTGGAAAACTCTTAAAAAGATACCGATGCCAGAGTTCTACTCTGGCAATTTTTGGTATATTTGGTCTGGGATGCACAGCCTGGGATACATAGTGAGTTCAAAGCCTGGTTGACTTGCATAGTGATCCCTGCCTCAAAAAAAATACATAAAATAAAATAATAAATATAAAATTAAAAAAATAAAATCAGCAATTTAGGAGTATTTCACTTAAGAATGCTCCCTACTCATCCATGTAGCTATCTAACTCTCTCTCTTACCCCTTTCTTTCACCTTTAAATAGACTGTCTTCCCAAATATTCAGCTATGTGAAAGATAGATAGATAGATAGAATTAGCAATTTAAATTCACACTATGGAAAAGTAGAAAAGCAGAGTGAATTAAATCCAAAGTAAACTGAAGAAGAGTCATAATAAAAATCAGACAAGAAATCAATAAAATAAAAAACAGGCAGAGCCAGGCATGGTGGGCAGCCAGGTTGGTGGCACATGCTTGTAATCTCAGCACTTGAGAGGCTGAGGCAGGAGGATCATCATGACTTTGGGGCCAGTTAGAGCTACATAAATAAGTTCAAGTCTAGCCTGCATTACATAGACCCTGCTTCAAAAATAAATTAATTAATAGGAATAAATCATTGAATCAAAGCACTTGTTTCTTGAAAAGATCAGTAAATCAGTAATCAACCTCTAGCAAGACTAGAAACAGGGGCTGGGGATTTAGCTCATAAGTGCCTGCCTTGCAAGTGCATGGTCGTGAGTTCAATCCCTGGTACCAGTAAAAAAAAAAAAAAAAAAAAAAAAAAAAACTAGAAACACTGGTAGAGGCTACACATTACTGCTATCAGAAATTTTAAAAAGATAGTACTACCAACTACATGGACATTAAAAGGATAATACAGGGATACTGTAATACTTCTATGCAAATTTGATAAGCCAGATGAAACGAACCAATTCCTTGAAAGAGACAATCTGCCAAACTTCACAAGAAGTTTGAATAGGTTTACATCTAAGAAAGAAATTAAATCAATACTTACTAACCATCTAAAGCAGTAAAACACTAATCCCAATGAATTCACTGGCAAATTTACCAAAGAATAAAGAAGAAATTACACCAGTTTTCTAGTGCAGAAAGAATATTT